ATAAAAAAAACAAAAACAAAACCAAAAACAAAACCAATTTACATTTACTGTTAAATTCCTTTCACAAAGGTATGTATATGAAGTATTTACAAGTGTTTGCTTCTTGTTTTAAACACTTACTTTGGTACCTGAGAATCAATAGTCACATATAATAGAAAGAAACAAAGGATATTTTCTCAGATATTCTGCCCAAATAAGTGTCAGAAAAAAATAACCTACTGTATTTGAAATGCTACAAATACTTATAGAGAACTTTTACCCACTCTTCATTACACTTACCAGATTTCTTTTTAATCAAATAAACAAACTTTTTCTAGTCTCCCCGTCACTGTTACAAGAAAACACATGCCATGCTAACTATGGAATGTATTTGGTTTATTATTTAATATATTTTATCATCAATTGAAATCAAACACTTAATACTCTTCAAATGTTAGCCTGCAAGAAAATGGCCAGAAAATACACACTGAATGTACATTGATGAGAACATGATTCATATTTCAGTAAGTCTCAACATTTAGTCAAACAGATAATTCAACACTAAAGAACTTCCAGCGCCAAAACATCAGGCATTGTACTTTGACAGATTATGGGTAATATCAGTATATCAATACTAACGATTCTTAAAAAAAGGGTAAAGAAAGACATTCTGTATTCCCCTAAACAAAGAAAAGAAAACTCAATGCCATGTAGCTCTTCTGCCCTTTACCAATGCACCACATTGTGTGAAAATAACAAAAAATTCATCAGGTGAAATAATAATATGTGAAAGCATCACATGCAAAGCATAATTATGGAATAAAAAAATTAACACACTGAATGGCCATTTCAGTATCTTTGGGGTTTAGAACACTCTCTCTTCAGCATTTAAAGAAGAATATAAATGCATATATAAACACACAAACACCCATATCTACAGACACACAAATTCATCTGTATCTGGAGAGAGGCTGAAGGGTGTGTGTATTCATATTTCAACAAATCCAGCCTCAGTCATACGTATAAAGACACATTCGTGAAAGATTCCCCTTTCCTCTGTTACCATTGCTGAAGAAAAATCAATTGTTGCCCTTAACATCTACTTTAACAGGTCCCTTTGATATGAATTCTTTTGATTTCCTAATTCACCATAAGCTATATTGCAGCGACTGTAAACTACCAGGCTATGTTACACCTTCATTAAGAACTCATACAGTAGCAAATTTAGATGACTGTTTCAAGTACATAGTTAAAATGAGGTAGTGCCCGGAGTTTTTCTAAATTTTAGGTCTGACAAGGATGAGATAACCAGCAGGACTAGCAAGTAAGATCTGTAATACTCTAGTTTTGCAGTCTTTCTAGGCTCAACTCTCTACCAAATGAGAACCACTAAAAAGCCAATGCACAAATGAGATCTCAGTGAAGGCTAGTACACCAATTAACAGCCTTTTCTTTGCACAGTATAATCAACTGACCACACACAAAATTCTCTCTAAAATAAGAATCATTCATTAAAACCATTACAACAGTATTGAAATACACAAACAATTTGTGATGTTCTAAAAAAATTTCCATGTGTAAAAAAAATTAAATCAATAAGCTTCAAGCTACAAATGGGTTTCACTCTGGATAACAAATATTGAGGACAAATTCAAGCATATTGGTTTGTACTGCTTTCAACACCTCAATTAATCAGCATACCACAATGAATGAAAAATCTCATGCTATTATTACACCCACGTATCACTCTTTTCCAAGCTGTATTGAGGGTTGTTTTTTTTTTTTTAAATATGGCATCAAAACCCCAGTAAAGAGATAAGAAATCAGATTTACTTTGAGAGTTGCAAAAAAAAAAAAAAAAAAAAAAATTATGAAACTTAATGATTGGCAGCAAGTCAATAGACTATGTTACAGTAAAAGCTCCACTGCTGGGGGAAAAAAAAAAGCTTTGGTTTAGCTATCTAGAACCTGTGCTATACTTCTCACAAAGAACAGAATTCTAATCATTGAACAGAAGGGAAATCAGATTTAATAGCAATGTGATTGATGTAAAAAAACAATTTTTGGCTCTTAGTCCTAAGAACTGTTTTGATCCAATATCTTTATATACCCTCATGATGAATAAAAAATAGTATTCTATAGGTTAGAAGAAAAAATACTCAGATCTGATATAATATTCATTTTCTGAACATGTACTTTTACAGAGGAATTTTAAAGGTAGTTATAATTTCCCCCAACAGACCACGTTTATCATTATTGTATTTAAACACCTTTCTCAAAAGTGTTTTAAATTTACAAACTCAAATGACTATGCCAGAGCTGTGGTGATAATCCATCATATAAATATGTATTTAAAAATTTAAAAGATTAATTATTTGTCTGAAATAAGGTGTCTGTTCGGCACTTTTATTTACCCTGGAAGCCGTACATGACTCCATCTGAACTGTTGCACTTCACCAGGTAAATAGATATCTAGGACATATATGTCGAGCAAAAACATGCTTTCAAAATATTTATGTAATATAGTAATTGGTCATGTCCTGTGCACATTTTTCAAAGTTTGATCACCTAACTTTACAACATACATTTTCTTGAAGACAAAATCTGAAAAGTTACTCTATATTATGGAATGATTGCTTTCTAAACTTTAGTTAACCCAAACAACTTTTTATTAGACATGGAAAGATTTCCAAAACAGTTCTTCTCTATTGTTGTTCTGTGACTAACCTACAGTCAAATTTAAGATCTAGTTTAAAGGCTGTCTCATGACATATGAGCTGTTTTACCACAATTAAAACTCATTTATAGTGAGTTGCTTTATTATGATGATATTGTGATGGAATATTTTGATACCATCATTTATTATATCCTTATATTATGATTTTATTGCAATGTCAGCCTACACAAAAGCATCATGTTGTCATCAAAGATGCCCATTTTGCTTTTGTATATCCATATTTGTGGAATAACATGCACAGTTGGACACTTGAAATTAGAAGACTATGCATGTGTTACAGCAGTGGTGCAGATAATTACATAGGGAAATAAACTGTTACAAGTATACTGTTTATCTTCAATTGTAGGAGCAAAATCTACAACTGAAGCTGCAAAATTAGTCAGAACAGTTTCAGCCTTAAAAATCTACACAAAGGTAATTTTACTGGACAATTTTCACAGCTTTTCAATTTCCCACCACTAATTTTTGTCATTTCAAACTGCTTTCAAATACTCAGTTTCAAAATACAGTAACCCAAACTTCTCTACTGCTTTCTTCTGATATGTAACATAATATCTTATTAAAAAATATATTGTTAGAAAATCAGTATAATAATAATAGTGATAAGATTGTTGTGCATTAAGGCTTCTGGGTTATTGCATGCAATTACAACTGGCTTCAAATGAGGTACAAATGCCTTGAAACTGCTCAGAATCAGAAGAGATCAAATAAGAGATAAAAGGGCATGAAGATTATTACTGAATACAAGTTATGACAGTTTTCTACCTGTGTGATGGTGTAGGTGTAATAACAAATTCAGTGTTATATCTCAACGTAAATGAAATAAAGAGCCATTTCTTCCTTTCTTATTTTAAATAATCAAATGCTACAAATGCGTATTCAAAATGTAAAGTATTACTTGCAGCTGGATGTCAGTGTAACACAGTGTAAGTTACAAACTTTTGCAAAGCAGGAATTGTATGACCGAAACTGGAAAGTTTTCTTCCCATGTCAGTGATCTTGCAATTCTGTATGCTAAGGCAGTAGGACTAAATTGGTGATCTGACACAATGTAAAAAAATGGTAACATTCGGTATAAATTTTAATTGTCAGCTCTCCTGCCTGGATTGTGCAGACAATTCACTATCAGAAAATAATTCAGTGGGCTGCCAACTCATTCCATACTAAGTCAGAAAGGCAGACACACAACACACTTTGGATGCTGCTAGCCAACAATACTAATAGCTCTTTTCATTATCAAGAATTCCCTCTTCCATTTTCAGGAGTTTTTAAACAAGTATGAGTCTGTAATATAGGGAAATTACAATTTTTTCTTACTTTCCTGATGTTCTTCCATTTAATTCATTCAGTGAAATCACACTCTGGAGGCTCAATTAAAAGCAATTAAGAGAAAGATTTCATTGTATATAGTATTGCTTTTTTTAAAAGAAAATCCTGTTTCATTCAAACACATTTGAACCTGGTGTGTTTGAAGAACACACAGGATTGGATGTATTATCATGCCAGTTGAACACTTTATCTTCAATGTTTTGTTGGCTTAAAGACAAATAACTTGGTTCAGCATTGCTAATTTTGATGCTTTCTAAAAGTTTTGGCCAAATTCCACACACAGGCTATACTGTAAGCCTTTGTTCCAGATGCTTCATTGGGAACAGGAAAGTTTCCCAATTTTAGGTCAAATTCTCTGCACGATGCTGTTAATACCAAAATATTAGACAAACAAAGCTGTGCTCTTTTTTTCAGGGTGATATTATTGGTCTGGTTTGATTTCAATCCAAGTTTCCAAATTCTTGAGTACTTAATACTTTTAGAGCTTTTACTACTTCAGAACTTAAGTTCTTAGTACATTTTGCCCATGATACCTACCACTGTCTTTTCACTTTCTCATGAGTGGAAGCAACTTCTGCTTATTTGTTTTGAATCAGGGTGGCCAACCCAAATGCTTTACTTTGTGCTGCATGCTATAAACAACACTGAAAGGTACACTACACTTCTATTATGACACCACTCTGTGTTTCACTGCAGTGTGTAAGGTCATCCCTGCCTTTAACTGATGCCTCTTTGCTTCCAAAGAAGACTTTCCTACTATGTGACTTTTCCCCCAGCTTCTCATTGCCTTACATTGTCATTCATGGTTCCCTCTCAGCACTCCATTTCTTTCTAGCAAGAAGGGGAGGAGAGGACTACAATCACAGACTAAAAGACTCCCAATGCCATGGGTAAGGCACCACAGCTCACAAAGTAGTTCCCCCCTACTTAGCCTTTTCTTCTGGGAAAACAGTCCCTATTCCACTAAAGTGTCAAACTTCATATTCTCAGAAGATATGTATTCAGCCATCATCCCAGCTCCTATCCAGTGTGACTGTCTGACGTAAGCCTTCAAAGTTTCAACTGAGTTGCACGTATACTGCTGCTCTAGCAGAAAAATGAAAGAAGTATATTTACATTCATTTTGCCAAACATTAGCATCTTCTGTCCAATCATTTGAATGCAGAAGTGTTAGGAGAAAACAGCTTAGAGAACAAGGGTTGACACATACAGTGTGAAATCTTAAGGTGCTTGAATGCAATGAGGGAGAAAGTGAGACAGAACCATGTTTCATCTCCTAACTGTGCTACAGTCCACATGAACTTTGTGACAGGTCTCTGTCTCTCAGCCACACTTCACTAGCTTCTGCTGACATTCAGCTGTCAGACAGCAACCCTTTACCATGCCCCTAACATGCTCTACAGCTTCACCCAATTAACTCGCTTTCACTTGACATTGCAGCAAAAAGCTTCATAATAGGTGGTCAAGGTGCACGGTGTCTGCTTGCCCTCTAACTGCTCACGCACAGCAAAATGCTACCTTCCTTTTTGTCTGTTTGCGACGAAGCGGCACAACTACAATTTAGGCATTCTGCTACTAAATGGAACAAGGATAGTGGACCTTTGCCATCAGTGCATTCATTTAACTCTTACCAAAAACTATCCTAGAGCTAATAATCACAGCAATTTTGGCAAAAAAGGAAATTACACTGATTCAGTAAAATACTTCAATCACTTTATACTTAACAAAAATATACTATAACAGCAATTTTGTTTCAAGGGGAAAGAGGGGAAAAAGTAACTTATTTACATTAGTAGCAATTAACTACATAGAGGAGGCAGGTCTACAAACAATGAAAGTATCTTTATGACTCAGTTTTCTTGCATTAAAAAAATCTTTAGGTATGCAGAAGATTAATTTTTCCTATGCATTTCTGCCAAATACACAATATTTTAGGAGTATTTTTAGAAATATGGATCTATATAGCTAATAAAACAAATTATCTATTAAAATATGGAAATCAACATTTTAGAATTCACTTGATAGCTTGTAGAAAAGTAACATCAAACACTCAACTCATTGTTACTTTGCTGACAGATGCCTTGAGAATACTTCAATTTGCTCACTAGTTCTCTCAAGTATATTTCTATATAAATATACGGAGTAGGTCAGAAAAGTCCCTTAAAAAGGCAATATGTATGTAGTAAGTACTGATGACACTCAAGTGCTCTGTGCTGAAGAGTCTGGATTAAGCACTGGTGTCTGGACAGTGAAATTATGAATGCCACTATAGCAAATAGCTTCTACTGCCCTTATGGGTTTGAACTACCACAATTCCAGCAAGACAGGGCTCAAAAGACTATCCACATAGCCCTTTAAGATTCTGGATTGCTAAACTACAGCAAACTCACTTAGGTTATGTATTCTATTTTCTTTCCAAGCATATCTACAGGATATACAGAACCTTGCAGCTCTCTTTAAAAATCTTTGAAAGGGCAGTTTTTTCCACTCAAGAAATTTTATTTTCACAAAGAGAAGCAGACATCAAGACTGTAGAAAGTAGAAGGTCAAGATAAGTCCTAAGCATGAAGTAAGGAAAACAAGAAAGGAAATACATTGATTAAGAAAGATGTAAAGCAGACTCCTCTCATAACAGGAATTTATGGGAAGAACATAGAACCAACCTGTCTTTATGAAAGGTGGTGAAAAGCAGCAAATCATAATGAATTGGAACTCACATACCTCTGGAAGAGGCTGCTAATGCAGAAGTGGATAGTTTTGCAGCAATGAAGAAAATATAGTGAACACCTCAATCAGATTCCATGTAGGAAAATTACATTACTGAGAATTAAAATGAAGTGTAAGGGACATGCATGGCCTCATAGTGAATAATATTACTGTACATCTTGTAAGTCAACAAACATTATTGTGATTCACTAGGTATTGAGATTATAATCTGATGTTGTTTGTAATCCTGAAATGACAAGAGACATGCTGATGTCAAAATTTGACAGCCTTCACCATCCACTACCAAGGAGCAGATCAATGTTCACTCTTCGGAGACAATGGAACTAGGACTATAAACTGGATACAGACATGGTTTATGCAACCTATCTGCACCTATTTGAAAAGCACACTGATTGACTGAAAAGCAGATCTCATATGTAAAATACAAACACTTGCATTTTGAATCAGAACACCTGCACAGTTGCATTAGCCTACATGCTAATCTGAATCTCAGTTAATCTAAACAACTGTATTAAACTGAGTAGTCTCTTCAAAAAGATCCTCTAGTGATGGTGCAAAGAATGACTGACTTATACCACATGTTTCAAAGTGAACTAGTGTAACTGCCAATGTAATTTTCTCAAAATGGAGATTTATTATTAAAATCATCAAAGTATTAGGAGAATAAAGGGTTCCATCCTTTAGCATTGGCCAATGCATGTAGATTTTCTGGATAGCCCACTACTTCTACTTCCTATCCAAAATCCTAATAAGGGCTCCATCCCACTCCACCATAAATTAGATTACAGACAGATTCACCAGGAATAGATACATTTGGCTCCCTGTAGATTTTGTATAGTTTTCTAGGTTTTGTTTGCTTATTCAAGGCAAGTACTTTCATGTTCATTGATGCCCAGTAAAATTTAGCTGAGGTAACTTCAGGAGGGAATAATTCCTTCTCTCACAGATTACAGGCAATAGCTGAAGCAGTGTGTCTGTAACAGAGTTCTAAAGGGCAGTTTTGTAACAGTAATGATCAGGGAAAACAGTAGGCTTTCCAGCAATATTGCTTATGATATCTGAATAGCCTAGGAAAAATATTTTAGGCTCTGTTCCAGTTGATGGGTAGTATGTAGGTCTTCTGTAAATTCAAGATCCAAATTACATTAACTGGGCAGGAATCAGTTATAAACAACTTGAGTGTGGGTGAGCCAGGTTTACTATCTCTGTTGGTTTTGGCCAAATCTACATATACAATTACATTTCAGACTGAAATTACATTTTAAAAATCTAATAATTACTTGAACAGTACTTTTTATACTTACTAGATTCCTGAGCAAACCCTCCAAGAATTGTTCTTAGCTCAGGTATTAGATCATCTCCTTCTGTGACGCTCAACATGCAGTTCAAGTGAGTCCACTAGGCAAACAGAACTAATTTTTCTGCATATCAATCATATTTTAGATGAATAAACATTAAAAAATGCTAATGGAATTTCATCCTTTCCTATATATTTAAGCCAAATGTGTGTTCTGAAATCAAAGTTAAAAGCAACAAAAAAACCCCAAACAAACAAAAACAGACAGCACCACCACATGCTACAAACAAACAAATAAAAACCGCCCAAAACTCAGAAATCACTAACACATACAACACTCCAAACTTTCATCAGATTTGTAAAACTTTTATCAGAAGAGTAATGAAGAACATAGAGGAAGATTTGAGAAAGTGTTTTTCAGCCTTTTGGTTTGTAAAACTAGAAAGGTGTAATATAAGTTTAAAAAATTAGGTTTTCTAAAACAACCCAACAAAACCCCCAAAACAGGGATGTTTCAGTAATTTGGTGTGCCTTGTATAATCCAGAATTATACCTTCAATTCCTTTACTCAGAGTTCCCATTGAGATTACAGTCTTCAAAAACATTTAATATCTAAAGCACAGAAAACTTCAGTAAGTTATAAAATTAAATTCAAAATACGTAAAGTAACAGGATGTTTTCACATATACAAATTAAAACTAAACTGTATGACTTGAAGTGTCAGAAAACTTTGCAAAGCCCTAGTTAAGTTACAATGTTTAATGCTCAGACTCCCAAAAGAATGCAACAGATTTAATAGACATTGTGAAAGGAAACTCGATGTCACACAGGCTTTGAAAGACTAACAGGCCCCTGACCACAAGCATATAAGCACCATACAAGATGATCCTTCTGTGATCAAAGGGGACTGTCAATACTAACTAAAGCTGAAAAATTAGTGAATTACTTCATTATTGTGGTTCTGGCCTTCAGAAATTGTATGTGTCAAATCATCTTCATCACCTAGACAGGATAAAAGTCTTTCAAAGTACTACTGAATATACAAATTTAAGAGAGGCAAGTATTGCAATGTCAGCTTTGTGGCAACGTTTATTGAGTTAACTATGAGTTTATGGGCAAACTTCAGTTGAGACCCAGATCCAAAGTGTGGTGTATTAAATCAGTGTGACTTTAAGATCTCTATAGGTTTCTCTGAAAATAGGAATTCTTGTAGGAATTCAAGGAATTACACCATCTGAAAAGGATGAAATGGAATCATGGTATCTTCATAATGTCACTGCTTTCCGACTATCATCACACTTATCAGGGAAACTCTGCTGGTGATTAACCACACTACGTGTGACCATATTTTTAGTAAATTTTATTATTCACTGTTCATTTTAAAGGTGCCCTCACTTTCCACCACAAGGTAGAAAAAAAAAAAAAGGGGATGAATTGATTGCTTGAGCAAAAGAGGCTCCTGTCTTTCAAATGGTTGCATTTCTAAAACAAGTCAAAACAACCCCCAAATTCTTATAAAATATGGAAGTGAAATTACCACTTAAGAAGCACATTTCTTTCTAAATTCCTTTCTTTAACTGAAGTGTTAAATAAACTGAAGAAAACAAACGTTATTTGAATAATCAAGATCATTATCATAATAACAACATCCTTTTCGCTGACAGTAAAGCTGTTTACCCTATGGAGTGCCCATTTCCAATTTTAAAAATTTGTTCCATTAGTTTATTCAACAGGTCAAACTGCTTTACGGAGGTCCGTCTCTGGAGAAAACAGGTCCTCACTATGATCAGCTATAAAAACTGTGCCTTCTCTGCAAAATGTGCATTTCACAGAATTCAATTAAAATTTTTATATGTAACTTAGAAACAACAATAAATAAATAAATAAATAAATAAATAATATGCAAACCCCTGATGGGTAAATATTAAACAGTGTGTCTTAAATATGTAAGACTCAACAGAAAGAAAGATAAAGATGTAACTTAGTGCCTGTATTCCCTTAAATCATGCCAACACTACAGGAATAAAATTAAGTGTTAAGAATAATATTATGCTTTGAGCAC